AGCTTGGACATCAAAAGATTGAACAAAGCAACAAAGCTTGAGGAAGCCGCTGCCATCGTTGTCCAAGTGTCATCTCGACACTTCAGTTTTTTTCAACGGAGACGCCAAGCTTTTCGAATCCGCCGAATAATCAGTCATGTAAAGGAACGCCATTCTTTTCGAACCTTCACCATATTCGAACAAACAGGGGGAACACCATTCTTTTCGAACACCCTGAACGCCGACTTTTTTTATTGCATGCAAAGGAAAGAGTTGTCTGTCTCTGTAGAACAACCCTTCTCGGACAACTTCAAGATTGATGGTTGGGCGGGATTCCTCGACAGCAATGTTCTTCGTTGAAGGAGTTCATGATATTCTTTAGTGAAGGAAAACAAATAAAGAAAATAAAAAATTACAATATCCCGCCGGTAGGCATTGAATTGTGTATGCCCACCGGCAGGTGAAGAAGCGTGTTTGAGGTCTCAAGAATTCAAATCTTGCTCTGATACCATGTAGAAAATAATAAGAGGGAAAATATTCTGTATATTGAATTGTTCTGCTAAGTACAAGGAGTTTCTCCTTTATTTATAGGAGAGGATAAAGACCAAAACACAAAAGGAATTCTATTCCTACAAGGAAACAAATCACTAAATATGAACAAGGAAACAAATCAAGAGCAATCCCACTTAGAATGGGATTTGCTCTCCTTCTTGCCGTGTGGTCCAAGGAGCACCGCCCAACACACATACAACCATTATTTTAGAACCCAAGGTTGACAGCCCCAACACTTTAGCTGACTTTAGACCCATAAGTCTATGTAACTTCAGCAGCAAGATTATATCTAAAGTTCTAGCTTCAAGATTGGCTGGTGTCCTTACTCATATCATCTCTCCATCTCAATCTGGCTTCATCCAAGGGAGGTCTATAACTGAAAACATATTGCTCACCCAAGAACTCTGTCATGGTATGCAACTACAACATAGGGACATTGTTTTGAAATTGGATATGGCTAAGGCTTATGATAGAGTTTCTTGGGCTTTTCTCAAAAAAATACAGAGACAAATGGGTTTTTGTGAACAATGGATTGATATGGTCTTCAGAATGGTTTAAACATTTGGTACACTGTTCTGGTCAATGGTCAAAGGGAAGGTCTCTTCACCTCTTCCAGGGGATTGAGGCAAGGTAATCCCTTATCTCCAGGCCGACCTATTTATCATAGCAGCTGAGTTCCTCTCCAACCTTCTCACACGCAGGAGTCATAGTAAAGGGATTATTCCTTTTACTCAACCTAAAGGTATTCAGACTATTAATCACCTAGCTTTTGCTGATGATATGATAATATTCACCTCTGGAAGAAGGAACTCCATCCTAAAGATTATGGAAGACCTGCATCTCTATGAGCACATTTCAGGTCAGTTGGTTAGCACACAAAAAAAGTTCCTTCTATATGCATCTAGGGAGTGCTGTTGTCACTACTAAAAGAGTGGCTGACCTCATTTCTGTCAAACACCAGCCTTTCCCTTTCGACTATTTGGGATGTCCAATTTACAAAGGCAGGTTAAAGGTGTGTTATTTTAAAACATTATTAGAATGAGTATCACAGAAATGTGAGGGATGGCAAGGGAGGTTATTGTCATATATTGGTAAAAAAGTTCTCATTAAAAGTGTGCATGCTACAAGCTCTTCCCTCACATCTGTTTTCTGCTATACAACCGCCTAAAACAATTTTAAATAAAATGGAACAGAGCTTTTCCAATTTCTTTTGGAGCCAATCTGCTGGAAAAAGGCACTACCATTGGAGCTCTTGGGAACATATGAGTTTTCCAATTAAAGAGGGAGGTCTAGGCTTTACTAAAATGCAGACTATGGTGGATGCTTGTAGTGCTAAGTTGTGGTGGAATTTTAGAACAACCAACACCTTATGGACTCAATTTATGAAAGCCAAATATTGTCAGAGAGTCCATCCTGTGGCAAAGGTGTGGCAATATGGTGAATCTCATATATGGAAAAGGATGGTGTTTATTAGAAACCTTATTGAACCCTATATTTTTTTGGTAGATATATGATGGTTCCTTGAGTTTTTGGTGGGATATTTGGACAGGGCTTGGTGCTTTAGCTCGTGTCACCATCTAGGGGAATGGGAGATTTCTTCTTGCTCCTTTGAAAGATTATTTGATGAATAACAATTTGAATTTTGCCCAACTACAGCAACTTATAAATCCAGGTTTTCTTTTCTATTTTAATGTGGATCTATCAGGGTTGGGGGCCAACAGATCTGATCAAGCCATTTGGAAACCCAAGTCTAATGGTCTCTTTACACTTAAGGCTGCCAAACATTTCTTGGATTGTAGTGGGCACGCATCTGTGCAGCATCAAAAATGTTGGAACACACATATTCCTTTTAAGGTGTCCTCTCTATGTTGGAGAATATTGCTTAGGAAACTGCCTCTGGATTCCACCTTGCAAAAATTTGGTTACAACCTGCCTTCCAAGTGCTTGTGTTGTGATACTCCTTCTGAAACTACTGAGCATGTTTTCTCCTAGAGCATAGTAGCTCAATATGTATGGCAATACTTTTATGACATCTTTGGTCTGTTTAATATGGCTTCTTCTGTCACACAACATTTAGAGACTTGGCGGGGCTCACAAACACATTCTAAGAAGCCTACTGTCAGAGCTTATTTGCAGTAATGTATTCCGGTGCTTATTCTTTGGGAACCATGGGTTCACTATGATGCACTTAAGTATGGAGAAGGGCAAATCAATGTTGCAAGAGTTATTTTTAAAGTTAGGAGGGGGGCAACAGAGGTGGTATGCAGGAAATGGCCTTCTCTCCTCCACTCTTTTCCTCTTTGGAAAGCTATTTTTCAGCTCCAAGGTGTTCTGCCCAAACATTTTTCTTTTAATAAAACTCTATGGGACCCCCCACCCCTGCACAGTGTTAAAATTTACGTGGCATATTGGCACTCCAACCGTGGGAGTGATGCAGCAGCTGTGATTAGGGATCCTACTGGTGCTTTTTTACATGCACAAAGTATCAGGAGTACGTATCCTAGACTGGAGGCTACCCTTGAAATCTTGATTGTTATTCTTCCCTGGTGTTTAAATGCCGGTTTTCATAAAATTCAGTTTGAGGCAGATTTTGAAGATCTGTTACAACTTCTCAACCTTAATACCCCTTTACTTGCGTTGGCTAAGTTTAGCCGGTTGGCTTTTCTGTTGTCCTGCTGCAATTATACAGCCCAGCTCTGTGACCATGATGTTAATAGGGTCACACACTATCTTGTCAAATGGTGCAATAATCAGTTACATCCAAGTTGGGAGTTTTGCTGCATTTTTTATTTGCCAGCTTTCTGCCAGACACTATGTCAACATGACATTCAGCGCATTTCCAGTTTTGCTGCCTCTTCTTCTATCTGATTATGCAGTCCAATGTTTCTGGGGATACGGAGAACTTGGATTGTGGGTGAGCTCACTTTCCTTTTCCTATCTTGCTAGGGGATAGTGTTTGCGTGGGGTTGAAGTATCATGTCTTGCTTACTTAGTTTTGTGTTGTTTCGACCTTATTGTGGCATTGGTCATGCCTTAGACTAATGATGTTGCTAGTTAGGACCTTATTGTGGCTTTGGTCAAGCATTAGACTAGTTGTTCTAGTTTGGACCTTATTGTGGCTCTGGTAAAGCCTTGTTCTAGGCTCCCCCACCCTTTCCCCACTTATTGTACTCTCCGGAAGGTTTGTCTTCCGTATGATGGGCTGACATTAGACCTTGGTTTTGGTCCTCCCCTCACTTTGTGGTGACGAAAGTATCTTAATAAACTCGGTAAGGGTTGCCTAGACTTTACCCCACCAAGCTTGGTGGTTTGCCTACTGGGATTAAAAAAAACTTACCCCAAGAGTATACATAACATTTTGATGATTTACTTTGACACAAAATGTTGGTACTTTAACAAAAAAATTACATACCACCCCCAACACCAGCTCAGTTAGTGTGGGACGCAACCCTCCCCCTAATTGTGGCTATTCGTTTGTTCTCTCTTTCTAAAATTGCTTCCTCCATTTGGAGCAAATAAACATGGCTGTTTTCACTTCCGTAATGCTCAGTTCATGCTGTTCGGCTTTCCACCCTGGTTTTCAGCCCATATCACATAGCTGCTGCTCGGTTATGGTAAAGTACTCAGTCAATTGTTGCTTAACTGCAAGATCGGTGAAACCATCCCCAAAGAGGCGGCGATCATTGACCTCTGTGCCCGCTTCTACTACTGATCTCGTGATTCGAAACGCGGCAACCAAACCGGCTAAATCTCCAGGTATCTATTCAACTTAATCTTCAGCATAAATTTGAGTTGTGCATTAAATTTGGTTGGATCGGAAAAGCAGCTGAAGAAGAGTGGTCAATTAAAAGATCAAAACTGGTTGAGAAGAGAGTGAGGAGTGTGGATCCAAAGGAAGCATTGAGGCTTCAAAATGAGAACAATTTTGTGATTCTTGACGTCCGGCCCGAAGCAGAGTTCAAAGAGGTCAGTCAGTCTTATCTTCCAAGTTTATTTGCACATTTAATTGGGAATCCATTTGCCCTGATGACATCAATCCTGATGGGATCTAGCCTAAAGACTTTGATGTTTGAAGAACTAAAAAGAGAATAAGAACATTATTGATGGGATATGTAGAACTCTTGTAGGTTTGTATTAGCTCAATCTCGCTTGGCTTACAACGAAGGATTTACCCTCTATTTATAGTCTAATTCTACCGTATACAAGGCATGCAATTTCGTACGCTACATTATCGGTGATTCGTTCATCATGCATTAATTGTGGGGGAGATTCAGTCATCAATCCCCCCTGCAATCCCACGGTTTAGGGAATCACGTCCTCTCTTCGTACCGGGTCTAATCCATTGCATTGGGTAAGCCTTCGATCCACCACTTCATCTGATCTTTGGGCTTCGATCTCCCTTCGCGCTCCGATACTTTGCTTTATTCTTGTTGGGCCTCAGAATTGTATTTGGGCCGCCCAAGGCCTGTTCAGCGATTCAGATATACATCAATTGTATTAAAATTAAATGTATTTAATTTGGGTTCTATAATATGCGTAGTCAGGGGCAGATAATTCACATAGTAGGGGCGAGAAATGAAATAAAGGCAAAACAATACAAAATGATGAATATTATTAATATTAAAAGTCATAACATAATAAATCATATTACCTCAAGTCTACAAAATCATTCTTCTAGCCTTCATTCCTTGTAAATATTGTAGGATGTCTTCATGTTCTACACGATCAAACTCTCATACTCTATATAAGTTAGCATACAAGCATTATACCACTCATCACCAATTCTGTTGCTTAACTTATCTTTGACCAAGTTCATTGCTGAAAATGCATGTTCCACACTTGTCGTTGCGACCGTTAAAAGTAAAGCTAACTTCACCAACAAGTACACCATTGGATAAACAATGTCTTTCTTCTTCTCAACCACTCTTTGGGTGAGTTCTCCTATTCCTTTCAAATTAGCTTATCCTTCATCATCTTTTACATCAAGAATAAAAATCTCTAAGGAGGAGGAAAGGAAAGAAAGGTCACAAGACTCATCAAATTCCATAGGACAATATGTAGCAAATTCAGCCAACTTTTTTGTGTCAATCTGTAGAATGAATCTCATGGATCAAGACAACTCAAACACTCAATTAACTTGGTGTTCACGTTGTGAGAGCGATCATGAAGGATAAGCTTTGGATAATCGGTGATGTCATTAATCGGTGATGTCATTTTGTTATTCTGTTATTCTCAGGAGCATTATTCTCAGTGTTAACTTGGTGTTCAAACACTCAATTAGTTCTGCACAAGAAATAGCAACATCTTTTTGGATAATCGGTGATGTCATTTTGTTATTCTCAGGAGCATTATTCAAAACCACATTCCACACACCTTCATTTGGCCTAGCATAAAAAATCAAAGTCTCAAGAACCAATTCTTTTCTACTTAAACTTTCAGATTCATCATGACCAAGAAAAGGAAGACCATTTCTTAAAAGAATCTGACACAATTCAAAGATGATTGTAACCGAACACGATAATCTTTTTTTTGCTTGGTCGGTAACATCTATAAGAGAAACGTCAATATGTTTTTTCCCATTCGTCAAATCTCACCCAACATGGAAATATGTGTTGTGAATACTTTATCATGTTCTCCCGTGTGAGTTCTTAACCTGCTTGTCTTATTCCAACACTTAAATCTGTACTAACAAGTGCATCATGTCCATAGAACTTCCAAACTCTATTGAAAAGGTAACAATATAGACAATAGCAAGCATCTTTTAATTCACTATACTCTAGCCAAGCACAAAACTCATCATACCAATTTGGATTGAATCTACGATTGTAACCATACATGAAGGTTTAAGGAAAATCATGAAGCTTTGGTTGTGTTGGACCTTTTAATAAATACCTTCTACGAATCTACAAATATTTTGTCTCTCAATCGGATTCTTTGTCATCAAATGAATTGGAACCCTTTTTCCTGGATCCGATTCAAGATTTGTTATGCCAACTTCATTTTGATTTTCTTGAGTTGGAGATTGGCCTTGAGGTTCATCTAGTACACTTGCTCCTTGAGAATCTTGAATCGGAGATTGTGGTTGAACTTTAACATCAATAACATTTTCTTCAGGAGGTGTAGGCTTTAGCTTTTTGAAATATGATTCTAAACCTAATACAATACAAAGACAACAAAGTAATCAAGGTTAATACCATAATTTGAAATTTAATAATACCCATTAAATCTAAATAAGTCACAACTCACAAGTATAGTGTGTGGATGCTACCTTTCATTTTCTGTTTGTGAACTGTGAAGTAGGGAATTTCAACCTTCAAAATTTGATATTTTCACCTGCAAAAATAGTCAAGTTTAAGAGACTACGAAATCAATTAAAATATAATTATTAACCATGAACAATGAATTGGTGCTAATTTGTTTTCCACTGTAATCTTTTTCTATATATGGGATATTATTTGAAGTTTTGAACTAACTACAAAAATGAAAAATAAAAAATCTGAGCAAACAAAAGAAAAACTTTTCAATGGAGAAGATGAAAACCAATTGCAGACAACAAACTTGAGGAAAATAAGATTAATTTGCTAATTTGAGGAAAACCACATTAAAAAGAGGTTAAAACCTGGCAATCAATTGCCGGGTTGAGGAATGAGGTTGCTAAACAATTAGATCAAAACCTGGTAATAAGGTTAAGTTTCCGATTTGAGGAATTAGGAACCAATTGCCAACTGTGGACTACCCCTCCGTGGCGCCGCCGTCTCTGCACTTCGTCCCTCGCCGGTTCCAAGAATCAAATGTCGATCAAAGATTTATCGCTATATTGACTATTTAGAGATGAATCGCTGCAGGAAGTAGGAACCAATTGCAGATGGAGATTGAGAGAGAATAGATTTGAGAGTTTACGGGTCACGGGTGGAGAAAAGAAGAGGAGTATGCTCTACGCGGATTGGACACAGCAGTTTATCGATTTTTTTTTGAAATATTTGCACTAAATAGCACTAAAACTTAAGTCATTTCCCTAAATAGCACTTAAATTGTTTTATTCCCTAAATAGCACTTGATAATGTCCATAATGTCCAGTGATGACGAATATTCACTTGAATAATGACTAATGCATAATGACTAAAAATGTTATATTGGGAAAAAACACATGTGGTGCTATTTAGAGAAAGTCATTATGTTTTAGTGCTATTTAAGTAAATTTCTCTTTTTTTGGGTAAAACGCCAAAACGACGTCGTTTTGGATTTTGGGGAAAAATTCCAGCGACTGCAATTGCAGTCATTTGCTCCTTACTAGCTCCGCCCCTTGTTTTCCTATTATGTACATACAGATATATAGATATAGATTCTACGTATCATCATATTGAGACCTTAGTCCCTCACTGTGACCTCTTGCTACTTACCATCACCATGAACATCCGTAGCTAAGCATAATAGAATTACTTTTTTAGCTCTTTAGCTTAATAAGCCTCAAAAAGGGGTTCTAACTTTGCTGGCTCCAATTCTGGTTGTTTTAAATTTTAATTATAGGCTCACCCGCCAGGAGCAATTAATGTCCAAATGTATAGGCTAATAAAGGAATGGAGAGCTTGGGACATTGCTAGACGAGCAGCATTTGCCTTTTTCGGAATCTTCCAAGGAACAGAAGAAAATCCCTACTTTCTTCAAAGTAATGCTCCACGTACTATAGGCGTCAAGTCTCTATTGCCCTGTATTACATGCACACTAGTTTAGCGGTAAATTACGTATCACCTTACCATGTTTACTATAACTGTGTTTATGACACATGCAAGCAGCTGTGGCGTCTACAGTAGATAAGAATGCGAAAATAATTGTAGCTTGCACATCTGGAGGCACATTGAGGCCATCTCAAAATCTTCCTGAAGGCCAGCAGTCAAGGTTTCTCATTCTTACCTCATTTCATTTCTCCCTCCCAGATGCTTAGATGGGATTCGGGTTTTGCCCTCAAGTCACTTACACGCCACTATAAATGACAGCTATTCTCTTCTACAACCTAGTGTAGGTCACTAATTGCAGCATACTTGCTAGTTCTCAATGGTTATACAAATGTTTACCACTTGGATGGAGGGCTCTGTACCTGGTTTAAGGAAGGACTGCCTGCAGTCTCTAAAGAATAAAGCCAGATAATTTTCATCTGCCTTTGTTGCATGCCAGAACGATGTTTTTTCTTCTCCAGAGATCATCACAGATCAACCAGCAATGTTATCGAAAGCTTACACCTTGTTACACAAATTCATGCTTCAACACTTCACAAGCCGGAGAGTGAGAATCATCTATAACTGAACATGCTAGGCTGAAATTGTATTGTACATCTAGTGGCATTTGTTTACATTTAAAGTTTAGCTTGTGCTCATTTCCTTTTCAGTGTACTCGTGTTCAAGCTATTTTGTATTCTGATTAATTTCTTCTTGAAAGGATCATACTTCCATCAATATGACTGTTAGTTGCTTATTGTTAGAATATAAAAATATTTCCTAAATCTACAATCACATGTTTTTTATTGAATTGGTTCCATGGACACTTATTCTAAAGCATGCTCATTTTATTCTGTCGGGTATAAAATTATCTAGATGCAAATGACCCGCTCAAAGTGGGAAACTTGTGAACTAAGTGGTGTTTCACTACGCTTATAAACTGGTCAAAATTGCTTATAAGCTAATTTTTTACATATAAAGAAGTAGATGACGTATTTCCTTGTGCTTATAAGCTGACTTATAAGTTTGCTTAAAGGCCAGAAAAAAATTAGGTCTTACAAATTTTTTAGTTAGTTTTTTAAGTTGACGCATTTCTCAGTTTTTTACTCCATATTTTTTAGCTAGTTTTTTTTTTGTTTTGACTAGATTATTACTACCTCCGTCCCAGAGTATTTGTCTACTTTCATTTTTGCACACCATCCAATGCACTTCTTTAATCTATTTTATTTTGCAATTCGTATATTAAAAAATTATAGAAATTATATATTAATAATCTATATGTTAAGACAAATCAAACAAGATCACACATGATTATATTTAGGCTTACACATTGAGAAAATTTGATGAGTCAAAATGCTTAGATGAACAGTTCCAAAAGTCAGAAGTGGACAAATATAGCGGGACGGAGGGAGTACAAAATTATCCCTCACCTATTATGAATATCTCCAAATTAAACAACTTATATTTCATTTAAATTGTTTTATCTACATGAAAGAATTTTTAATTTATAAGTAACTTATAAGTGAAAAATTGCTTATAAACAATAAGTCAATAAGCGTAGAGAGACACCAACTAAATCTTAACTTGACCGATTGACTCGTTAACTTAAGATTTTCTTTTTCATGTGAAGCACTTAATTTTTTAATAAATGTGATTATGTGAAGCACTTTATCATTTCCACATTAATATTTGAAATTGTCTTGCCCTAATTTATATTTTATGTTCACTATTTATAAGGTTATATTTTATTTTATATTTTATTTATTTTTGTGACATATTTGATAAATAATATAGTTCTATCACTTCTTATTTTGTATAATTTTTATGTGAATGTTTAGACTTATAAGTCTTAGGTATTTTAAAATTTTATACTCGTAACATTTAGTTATTTGTATATGACATAATGTATATGAAATTAGTACTCTTGTCGTCCATCGCACCGGTAGAATCTATTGAATTAAAATGTGTAAGTTGGACTCTAACCCTATCCAATTATATAAAAAACGTGTCCAGGGCTATTCTTTCTCACGCTTCTTCCGTTTTTCCGCTCTGTTCGTTCGTTTTCTTCCGCGGTCCTTTGGAGATACTGTTAAGGTTCCCGTTGGTTCACCACCGCCTTTGTCACCCACATCTTCCATGCTAATTATCTCTGTATTTCTCCGTTGTGTGCGCGTGCCAGGCTGACGAAACTAGGGTAAATTGCAGCGGCAAGTTTTCTCCTATTCAAGTTGAATTCGTCAATTTTCGAGGTGAGTAGTGGCCCCTATGCCTATAGTTAGTGTTAATTCATAGATTATAACTTGACGTATATTCTTGTAATTGATTGTGAATCTGATTGGTAATTAATGAAATTTGTTGGATTTAGGGAAATTGGGGGTTGAACACCGTCGGATTCTGGCGAGGCGCTTTCGGCGGATGTCGGAAGTCCGGCCAGGGCTCCAGCAGTGGCTTGGGTTGGTTATGTGGGATCCAATTGGGTTCAATTGCGTCCAATTGGTTCCCATTGGGTTCAATTTGGGTCGGTGCAATTGAGTGTAATCGAGTCTGTTAGGCTTCAAATTGATGCAATTGGGTCTGTTTGGAGTTGTTTGGGTGGCCCAGGAGTTCCAAACAGGTCTGTTGGGTCGGGATCTGGGTTCGGGCAGCCGGGTTGGCTACTGCCAGGCATGTCGGGGTGGGTCCGGCAACGATGGGGACTTCTCTGCCTGGGGCTGCGGGTCCGTGGATCTATTCCTCGATCTTGATTTCACACAGGTAAGTTGGGTTATTGTATTTGGGTTGTTGATTGTGCATGACGGTAATCGTGGGCCTTTGGTTGTGATAGGCCGCTACTTGTTATGTTTGTAATATGGAATTGAGAATTGAATTAAATTAATCTTATTGTTGACAACTGTGAATTTTGTTTAATATTGGAGAATAGGTCACTTGGTATGATTAGGCAGACCTGAATTGGATTGATTGATGAATTGGATTGATTGGATCACCAATAGAATATGGTTAGGAAGTAGGCCATTGCGGGGCGTTGTCACACACCTGGTGGTCTTGGGTTAAAAACGTACGTACGAGAGTCTTTGAACTGTCTTTGCATCGCAGAGACAAGGGCTTCAACTAGGAGTGAGCATCGGGTCGGTCCGGTTGGTTTCGGCCCAAAATCGAACTAACCAAATTTTTTTTGGGTTTATAAAAACCAACCAAAATCGAACTGTTATAATTGCATAACCGACATTTTTTTGGGCCTTTGGATGGATTGAATCAAATGGGCATTTCACTTTTGGATTGTTGGGTGATTTTGTTCGGTTTTTCGGTCGGTTTTACTAATTTAAGATCCAACCCGAAAACCAAACCGATTAACCGAACTAACCGAACTAATTCAAGATCCAACCCGGAAACCGAAACCAAAAAATTCGGGTGGTTCGGTTTTTAAGCATCGGTTGGACGGTCGGTTTGGATAATATGCTCACTCCTAGCTTCAACCCACCCAGAGTTAATCTCCTTTGGGTTTTTTAGAGTTTGTCCCTTTATAGCATCGTTTGGGCCTTGGGTTGCCACGACTTATATATATATATATATATATATATATATATGAATTTCCTTAGCCATCATAGGTTAAGAGATGTGACTGGATAAATGAATATGAATATCGTAAAATGTTTTGAATATTAATATTACTAAATTTGTTTGCATGATGTGCTAGAATATATGTTGATGTGGTACTACTCTATGAGTTAATACTAGTGTTGGGTAAATTCTCACTCAGCTTTTAGCTGAGCGTGTGGTCGTTGTTTTTTAGATTGCACGTAGGTAGGAACCCATGATTGGATGAGCAACCCAGGGGGCAGAGACTTGGCGTGGCGTGGATGGCTTAAGTGTTTCCTTAATTCTTTGAATTACGTACTTTGATTATATGGATTTTTTAGAAAGTTATGTGTGGTTTTAAGCTTTTGCAAGGTTTTGGGTTTATTTTCTTCGATGAACTTTTGGATATTCTTAATTTATTATGAATGAATGTTTATTATATTTTAAATGCATGCAAATACCAATTTAGTAATAACCTGGTTCGCTAACTCATTGGTTCGGGTTACGCAGGTTGGAATGTTACATTTTGTTATCGGAGCATGTGGTTTTAAAATCGATTTTCGGCCAAAAAAAATTTACTTTCGAAAAAAAGCATCCATTGCTTGCGATGTCACTGCTCCAGGAGGTAACTCTGAATCCTTATTGTTTGTTTATGTGATAATTGTTTGTTGTCTTTAATATTTAGTTGATTGGTTGGTTTATTACGATGAGTAAAAAAAATACTTAGGTGTAATGAATCTAGATAGTGAATCATATAAGGAATTGTTTGGTGTTGAAAGCGGATATGGGATTTGATATTTGGGATATCAAGTTTTCAAAAAAAAACATTTGGTGAAGATAAAAAGAGGTCCAAACCATATCAGGAAATTTGCATATGTTAGATGATATGTAGAATTGATATTTCTGATAACACTTTTCTTTTGGTAAAGCATCTATCTTCTAGTCAATAGGTATCGTCCAATATACGTTGTGGCTTGTAAACATCTAATTTGAGGAACTACCGTAAGCCATAGCCAAAGTTCGCATCCCAACTCACCGTGGTGCATCTGAAGATCCTGCCTCCATCCAATTCTACCCATGTAGCTGTCGAGGGTCTAGCCCGATTAGTCGTCATCCTCTGTCAGACTTTAGTTTGAAACCTTAGGTTGATGCCACCTTGTTGCGGTCTCCTGTTGTCCCTTCATTCATCGTCCATCTTCATGTTTTGTTTTTGTTTTAAAATTTTTTTCCAAGCTTCATTAACACAAGAACTAGACATTGGATTTTGCCAGCCTATACAATATGATGATCAACACTTCCGCTCACAACAGCCACTGTTTCCAAACAAATAAACTTTGAAACAATTGTATTATGGGAAGTCAAGGATAATAGTGGATTGGGCATAAAAGAGATCATAATCATTTTCTCCAAACACTTTTGTTTCTCATACCAAAACCCATATCATTACTTTCAGTTTTTAAAATCCATATCGTATCATATCTCTAAAACTCACCAAATAGATCCTAAGTTATAATTCACAACCATCCATGATGATTAGTGCGATCATGTTTCAGAAAAATATATATTGCATCACATGCTGACAAAGCGCATAGGTGATTAAAACAATGTTGTCAACTATTCGAAACTATCACTTTTGAGATGAGCTTCTAAAATTTAATCATAATTTATTTAAAAAAAATGACAACAAAAAGATTTGCAATAATGGTAGATAGAATACAGTTGGTTTAAAAAAAATCTTGTTTTTATAACACAAAAACCACAATGAAGAATGTGAAATTTAGTTTGTTGGACTATGTTGTTAACTATCCATAGTGAGCGTTTTAAAATCAAAATGAAAAAAGGTTTGATTCTTGTTTTAGTTAGTAAACAGAATTGAAAAAAAAGAAGAAGCTTGAAAGTATATATTTCTAAGGAGAATATAATATTTTTTAGCGGACCACTAAAATGACAACAAAATTTAGAAAGGGCTGCAACCTGGATGAATTAGGGTGTTTTATTTCAGCGTCAAACGAGGATGACAATATGAAGTAATGTGTAAAGCAAAAAAACAGTATGTTTCTTTTAAAAGAAGGGGATTAAGAAATAAATTTTTTTAAAGACTATCTTTTACATATGTGTGTGTGTGTGTGTGTGTGTATATATATATGTATGTATGTATGTATGTATGTATATATACACACACAGATATACATACATACATATAAGATGAACAGTTCCAAAAGTCAAAAGTGGACAAAGAGAGTGGGACGGAGGTAGTGTATATATATATATATATATATACATACACATACTACCTCCGTCCCACTCTCTTTGTCCACTTTTGACTTTTGGAACTGTTCATCTAAGCACATTGACTCATCAACTTCTCTTAATGTGTAAGCCTAAATATAGTCATGTGTGATCTGGTTTGATTTGTCTTAACATATAGATTATTAATATATAATTTCTATAATTTTTTAATATACAAATTACAAGATAAAATGGATTAAAGAAGTGCATATGATGGTGTGCCAAAAGGTGAGTGGACAAAGAGAGTGGGACGGAGGGAGTATATATATATATGTATATATATATATATATGGATTGACTCCAGTGAGATGACATGCTTCGGTGAGATGACGCAAAGCTCACCACTGGACAATGCAAAGCTCACCTAGAGATAAAGTAAAGCTCACCACTTTGAACACAAAAAATCACCTTTTTTTTAAAATTTTGAAAATTTAAAATTAATAAAAAATAAAATAGCAACACCGGTCAACCACCGGTTAGCGGCGGAGGTAGGCGGCGGTTGCCGGCGATCGGCGGAGGATTCCGGCAAATGGAGGTGGATTCTGGCGACCGGCGGCGGATTCCGGTGACCGGCGGAGGCGTATTCCGGCGGCCGGCGATGGCCGGCGGAGGTGATTCCGGCGACCAGTGGTGGCCGGCGGCGGCGGTCAAAGGTCTTGGTCAATGGTCAAAGTCTAGTCAGCACTCCATTCTTTGATTTTATTTTTTCAAAAAAAATTCAAAGTGTTGAAAAAATATGGTGAGCTTTGTCTTACAGTTTGGTGAGCTTTGTATATATAACTGCGACAGGTTCAGTTATTAATTACGGAGTAATTCTTTTCAATTGTAAAAAATTCAAAACAATGCTCCCTTAAATTTTACGGAGTATTATGTTCATCTCCAATTAGGGAGCTAACACATCCTCGTGCAACACACATGTGAAGTACTAGCTGGTATAATACTTAGAAAGTAACGTTTTATACACACCTGATTCATACCCGTGCGTTGCACGACAAATAAAATTTTCAAATTTTTTAAATGTAAATAAGGTCTATCATTGGTTATCCACGGCTCATTTCATACTTACTAAGCTCACTTCATTACTATTAATAAGTACCCAACATACAATTTATTAATTACGGCTCATTTCGTACTTCCTAAGCTCACTTCATTACTATTGATAAGTACCCAACATACAATTTATTAATTACGGAGTAGTTTATTAATTAATTTATTGTGTTAGGAAAGAGAAAGAAAAAAATGACTATCTACAATATTCAATAGTTGAATTTTTCTTATCTGAATTGTATTTATCAATTCTATACTTCAAATTTGTCATCCCTTTTTGATGTGTTATTTAATAATGATTTATTTCATGTGAAAGGATTCGAGTCAAAATTTACATCAACTCTTCAACAAAATTTATCCATTGACTAATTTGTTCATCAGATATGAAGAGATATTTGAGTCACGTGATAGAGAATGTCCAGGGATACCGGATATGGCCTATTTTAGGGTTAAATTGGAAAATAATATTAAAATTACGAATATCTTGAATTACATTTTTTTTTAAAATAAAAAGGTTTTATGGGGCAAAAATAGTATTGAATAATATATTTTGAGTATAATATTGCTTGTGATCTCATAGTATACACTCATCTAATGAACTAAATGTGACTTAGGTTATGATTTTAAGCCATAGATACAAAGAGTGTAAATAATACTCATCTGGAAAAAGTGATCGAAGAGCTGAAAATTCACAGAGACAATGTTAAGGGATTAAATTTTTTAATAAAAGAGCAGTAATCTTGTAGAGTCAGTGAAATGGGAGAGAGGAATGTTGTGGTGGGGTGGGCAGGTAGGGGACAAAGGGTAGAGTTTAGGGAGGGGACGGGACGGGTTAGGGGTAGGAATCATCAATTTTATGAAAGAATCACCGTAGGGGTCGTGTGCCATAATGACCCAGACTTTTAAGGTCAAAAGAACCATTTCGTTAATAAAAAGGTTATGCAAGCTTGCCAGTTATTTAAATTTAGTATATATGTTCGGTTCGGGATTTTCGGTATGGGAAGTCACCTCGTACCGTTCCCAAATACCGTACCGACCATTCGGTTCGGTACGGTTCGGTTCCTTCTCGGTACTTTTTCGGTTCAGTATTTTTCGGTTTGGTATTCTCGGTTTTTTCGGGAAACTTCGGTATCGGTTCGGTACTTGCTCACCCCTACCTGCCTTCCCCCTCTCCCGTGATTCTCCGTGGGTGGCATCGCCACATTGGTGAGGAGTCATGGAAACACCACCCCCAATAGTTGAAACTAAAATTAATACTCCCTACGTCCCATAAAGATAGAGACGATTTGACAAAAGTGATACTCCGTAAAATATAGAGGGATAATTTTGTGTTGACTTTCCAAAAATATATTTGATGTGATAGGTAAAAGTAAGATGTGATGTGTAGATTATTAGGAAAAAGGTATGATGTGATTGGTAGGGTACGAAAAAGTAAGTGGTAAAAGTGAGTTTTTAATATAAATGAAAATGACTTTTGGGGATATGTTTTTTTGAAACTTGAAAGACTTTTGGGACGGAGGGAGTATCTTTTTAAAATTTAAATTTCAGACCCCTTACACTATCTTCTCTCTTCTATTTAAATTTTCAAATGTTTCAATTTAATTAATTTGTGTACTCTTTTTAATTCATACTCCGTATAATTTATGAGTTTTTCAATTAACTGTTTTTTGTGCATTTAATAGCTATAATAAAAGAATAGGGAAAAAATAATTAATCTGAAATGGGAAAAAATAAATAAATAAATAAAAGTAAAATAAACCCAAAAATAAATTTTAATTCATTTATATGAATATTTTATAATAGATAGAGTTTAATTTGAATAGAAACAAATAAATATTAAGAAAGTACAATCATTACAGTGGTAGTGAGACGCTACAAATGTATAGTGAGTAAGATGGTAAGTACAATCAGCGATGATGTGATATTAAGTGGCTATTGATTTGGAATAAGCGCTGGTAAAGCGCTACAAATAGCCCTATATAAGCTATATTGTTATTCTTGCCATGAATGATGGGCCACTCCAGGATCCATAATAATCTACTTTTCCAAGAATAATTATTAATGAATGTTACGTCTTCTCTCTAACAAAATACTTTTATGGTCTGTTTGGGAACTTGGATTTGGATTTAAAATCCAGATTTGATACAAATACCTTGTTTGGGAACCTAAAGAATTTGAATTTGAATTTCATCCAAATTCCTCTCATTAATAACCAACCCAATTGCAAATTCATATCCAAACCCATGTCATTTGAATTCCCTGGCCCAATTAAAATTAAGTCTCTACATTCACTCATCTCTCGTCCATCGCCGATAGCTCTCGTCCATCGCCTCTCTGTTTGTGCGTCTTTCATGTTTTTCATCTTTTTCGATCGAGAGTATCCGAGCGGCTAGGTTTGAATCCCGTCCACCGCCTCCTTCTTCCCTAGCTAAAAGCTCCGATCCAGGTATATCTAGAAACCATTTTTAACCCTAGCTATGGTTTCCTTAAAGTCCAAGGTTGAGGATGATGAATGAATGAATGTGCTTCGATTTTTGTTCTATTTTTTCCGATTCACAAAAAATTTTGATTTGTGGGTTAGTGCTTTGGCAATTGGCAGCTTGTTACATGTTGGCCTTAGCAAGTTTTCTCTCTTTTAAGCCATACTTTCATACCACTAGTGTATGTTTGTGACAAGCAAAGACTACTAAATTCTATTTTTCATGTTTTTATTTCAATCTTATTTATGTTTTTATTTCAATCTTATTTTGAGTTCTTATTGATAGTTATACTACTTTCATCCCATAAAAAGATTCTACATTATTTTTTCCGTTTGTCCTAAAAAAAAAGGGTTCTGGTTTCAACCTATTTGCGTCATATGAGTGTGCTTGTGTGCGCCCTTGCAT